CCCTCCCGTTGCATCGCCACTACCAATAGATAAATTGCCTATTACACAGCGAGCAAAGCTGGCAGCTTCCCGATTGGCACTAGCCCCAACCTGCCAGTGCTCACATTCCCCAGCTTTCGTCTCCCCTGCCTTGAATATTCTGCTCACAGACAATGAGGAGAAGCAAAGAGGTTTTTAAACACAAAGCTGCTTATAAACCAGAGGTGGAGGGATGGAGTTTCTCCCCCATCAGCAGCATAATTGATTCCCCGGCATTCAAATTCCTGCAGTCGCGGCCCCTAAAATAGCATGTTTCCGTGCTGGCGAAGGGCGTGGGACGGACGGCCTGGGAGAGTCGCAGCCTCTGTTGATCAGCGCTGGGCGCAGCCGAGGCTGTGTGCTTCAGGCCTATCCCAGAGTGCCCACCTCCAAGGTGGATGAGCCACCCGGGGCCCATGCCCGCTTTGACCTCTCTGCTGGGCCTGGCAAGGAGGGCTGGTTCATGCCAGTTTCCAACAGGACTTAGCGAGCCTGCTAACTTCCAGTCCTTAACTCGTGTTGGTTTCAATGGAAGTTAGGCGCCTAAAGACCTTTGCAGTTCTGGGCCTTAAGGCCAGGTTTTCAGAGGTCATCAGGAGCCTAAAGCTACAGACAGGAGGCAGAAATCAGTGGGAGCTGGGTGCTTGGGCGTTTTTGAAAATCCCACTGGGGCTAGCGTCACAAAGAAACGTGGGCGAGGAACGCCCACACTGGGCTCTCCCATGGCCTGGTGGGTAGGGCGCTCCCCTGAGAGGGGGAAGAGGCTGCTTCAAAGCCTTTGTCCCGCTCCGGTGGAGGGGGGCTGTGAACTGGGGCGGTCTCCCAGGTGAGTGCTGTACCCAGTGGGTTACAGGCGATAAGGTTGCTCTTCCTCCTCTGAGCACACTTCCTGGCTTGAGCCCTGCAGGCATGTGGGTGCATTGTTCTGGGCCTTGGGCGTCTGGTCTCCAGGCGTGGGGCTGCAGGGCACATGCTCAGAGGCGGAAATATAGGCACTAAGGGACCTTTTACTGCAAAACTGTAGGCACCCAGTGGTTTTAGGCACCTATGGGGGGGCAGCTGAGCAGGGCTTTTGCAGAGCCCAGTGGGGGGGGGGGGGCGATTCTGGGATTTAGGCTCTTAAAGTGGCAGTTAGGTGCATACAGCAATTTGTGACTTGCTCAAGGTACGGCTCTGCAGCTTTAGGTGCCTAAGTACCTTGAAACTCTGGGTCTATGTCCCTTTTGCAAATGGGCTCCTAAGTCAGATAGGTGCTTTTGACAATGCTGCCCACATGCACTCACCCTCTGGGGCCTGGCCCGAGACACTGCCCCTCCCCCCAGCTCGTGTCACACAGAGGGAAAAGAGCTGAAATCCTTTTGAATGAAGGGTTCGGGTGGGATTCTGCTCTCAGTTGCGCCGGTGTAAATGCAGAGTAGCTCTTCAGAGCCGCTGGGCTGCGGGCAGACGCTGCCCCTTTATTCGCCGAAGAGCAGCAGCACTTGGCTACTGATGCACGGTTGACGAGTTTTGCAATGATGTGCCGTGGGGGGGGGGGTCCGCCCCGGGTACAAGATTTTTAATGTGTGACTTCCGCACAGTCGTGACTCCACAGCACTCCTGGGTCTTAAACCCCCCGCCCACCCCCACCCCCTGACATATTAACCCTTAGGGTACCAGACGTGCTGGGAGAGAGGCAGATTAGACAGTCAGGACCCAACCCAGAGTGGGATCACTTGGGTCCCTGGCCCAAAGCTGCCTTTTGAGGTTCAGGTTCAAGTGACCCCCGAATGCTGAGTCACACAACTCAAGCCCTCCCGCTGCACCAGGCCCACGGATTGACGCCAGCTTTGCGCCATACCAGAGCGCTCAGGGATGCTCTGGGGACCTCTAGCTGGACGTGGCGCTCAAAGCACAATCTGTAAGTACACGTCTCCTGGGGGGTCCCAGTGAACACCCCCCCCCCCCGCCCCAGCTACCAGTGTCGTCAAACTCTCAGTACTCCGCTTGGCCTCGCTCCTGCCACGTGGTGTCTCGCTCTCGACCCGAACGGCTGTGTGACTCATGAGGCCAGATCCGGCCCTGGTGTAACTCCACGGCAGTGACCGGGGCCCCGTCCCTGTCGCCGTCAGATAACCACAGTGAGTGGTACCACGGTGGCCGGCGAGTGGAGGAGTCGGCCCAGCTACGCGATGTGGCAGATCCCGGGTATTTACTGCCTTGGGAGCTCAATGCTGCCCGAATCGAATGGTGCGGCCCACAGCCCTACAACTCTGGCACGCAGAAACGGGGACGGCTCATTAAGGGACTGCCAGCAGGAGCTGGGAAAGCCAGTTAGAGAAGGAGGGCCTGTTAATAGGAAATGACTGAAAGAGACAAGAGGAGTAAGCCAGGCAGACAGGCTCATAAGCCAGATGTCAGCAGAGAAAGGAGTGACTGGATCTGTCAGGGCTCCCAGGAGAGGAGGGTGGAGAGTCAGGTTGGACCCCACGTGCTCCCCACAGCTCCAGGCAATGCGGCTTTTGGGAGACCCCCTGGCCAGGGAGGGAGGGTATAACGTAGGGTGACCAGATGGCCCGTTTTTAAAGGGCCAGGCCCATTTGGGGGGACTTTTTCGTATATAGGCTCCTATTACCCCCCCACCCTCTGTCCCGTTTTTTCACACTTGCTGTCAGTTCACCCTAGTATAACGTGAACCCTGCAACGGTTCATTCGAGTCTCTGGCAAGCACAGAGTCCCAGCCTGCCCTCGCGTCCATTGAAGGTGTTTAGTTAGATTGTCACAGCTCCGAGCTGTCAGGTCCATTGACCCTAACAATAAATAGAGTGTAAACTACTTCGATGGGTAGCCGCCATCTGGGACAGGGCTGTCTTTTCACTCTGTGTTTGTACAGCACCTAGATATAAAATATCATAGCATATAATTAATTCTGCACCAATGTAAAATTAGGCTCATCACAATAACAACAATAATATAAGCCAGAACCACATAGCAAATTCTCTTACACCCTCCTCCCTCCCCCATCACTCCATTACCTCCCACAAGCGCTCAGGGGAGCTTTGCCTTGTGTCCAGAAGGTTCACAAACTCCATCTCTGGTGACCTGGCCAACAAGGGATTAGCCAGTGACCACTAAACTCATATGAACGGAGGGGAAAGCATGGCCTAGTAGGTAGTGAAGGACATGGCTGACTGCTAAGTTAGGGGCCTGCCCCAGCCAGGGATTCAGCATATCCTTTGGCGCGTCATTCCAGCCTTCTGCACCTCACTTCCCCGGGCTGTAAAATGGGGCTAATAACACCTGCCTAGTGTGAGGTGTCATTACTGTGTGTAAAGCATTGTGAGATAGACAGATGGACGCTGGCAGAGAAAGGGCAAAGGATCTGGAAGTGAGGGAGGGCGAAAGACTGCAAGGGGGTTGGGGAGGATGCAGGGCAGTGCAGAGAAAAATTAAGTTGATAGAAAAATTCTAATCCCTGCAAAACGAGGACAGTTTCATCAGCTGGAGGGCGGATGGAGGAGGCTAAGGCCCGTGCATTATAATTCAGGGGTCAGAGGTCGGCAGTAATCTATAATCTACAAAGAATGAATTGTACAATCTGCAGACTTCCTAATCCAAACTCTGACAAGGACGCCTCTGATCCGCACTGTGCGAACAGCCTGTGCACCCAGGTCGTGCAGCTGCGAGAATGCTGTGTCTGGCAGGATGTCACACACACACACGCACACCCCTCTCGGGCAGGGCAGGGCTACATCACAATGGGAGTGCTGCGGGACCACGGTGGGGCAGGAGGGCAGAGCCATTCAGTGCACCAGTTACAACTTACACACACACACACAACATTCACTCCCTCTGTGTTAAGATAATCACAGGCCGCGTCTACACTATGGGTGCTGAGCAGCACAGATATGGAGTTGTAGCAGTGCTCCTGTCGCACCATAGTGTAGACGCTTCTTCCAGTGATGGAAGTTTTTTTTCCTCATCTCTGAGCGGTGGTAGCTAGATCAACAGCGTCTACACCAGGGGTTAGGCCAGCATAGCTACAGCGCTCCGGAGGTGTGAATTTTGACCCCTGAGCATCGTAGCTATGTTGACCTAGCTGTTAAGTTTGGACCAGGACACAGACCCAAAAGCATGCACCTGAAAACACTTACGTCTACTCTACACACACAAGCTGTGTCAATTTAACTGAAGGTGAGATGTTCACTCAGCATGGGTACCCTGGTGCAACTTTGTGTGTGGACACCGTCACATGGGTTTAAACCTGGCTTGCATCAGTTTAGCTTGCCCTTCTGAAATGAACTTTGGGTAAAATTGATATAAGAACATCCACACGCAAAGTTATACTGGTTTAACTGAATTGGCTTCACAGCAAACGATTTGCTAAACCCGTGCAACCTATGTGTAGACGAGGCCTGATTCCAAAGGGGATCTTGATAACAAGGGCTTGAAGGCTTCTGGGCCCCTGAGAATCACGACTTGGGACATACCCCATTAAGGGCCAGACTCAGTTACTTGAGTTATTCCATTAAATCAACAGTTATCCTGATGTGTACCAACTCAACGGCCAGCCCTGCCAGAGGCAGAATGGTCTGAATTAGGAATCAGTGCAGACTTGGTGGGGACAGGTGGTCCTGAGTGCTAATCCTGCCTCTGCTGGGTGACCTTTTGCAAGTCGCTTTGCCTCCCCATGCCTCAGTTTCCCCATCTTCAAAATAGTACTGACGTTTCACAGGGGGTTGTAAGGCTTATTTAATTCATGTGTGCACAGAGCTTTGAATTCCTTAAGGGCTAAGTTTTTTTATTTTCCCTCTAGGCCGCTTGATAGTGCGCTGAGGAGAGCATTAGAAGCCCTTGAGTGAAAAGTGCAAAAGCAGAGTGAAGTGTTGTTAAAGTACAAGAGTGCGCAAAGCTGCCAGTCAACCAGGCCTGCAGCTTCACAGGACCTTGTTAGCATCTCATGTGTTCAGTCGGTTAACACTGCTTCTGTCTTTCTCTTCCAGGTGCATGGGAGAATGGTAGTGCGACCATAAGATCATGCTCTACACAATGACATGTTGGCTTCCAGTCCTGGGCCTCCATTGGATTCTTCTGAGCACAGCCCGGGTGGCGGCCTGCCCGGCTCGCTGCGAGTGCGCTCCTCAGATCAAGTCCGTGGTGTGTCATCGCAAACGCCTCAGTTCCATCCCCGAGGGGATCCCCACCGAGACCAAGATCCTGGAGCTCAGCAAGAACCGGATCCGCTGCCTGAACCCGGGGGACCTGTCCCCTTACCCTTTGCTGGAGGAACTCGATTTAAGCGAGAACATCATCGTCAGTGTGGAGCCTGGGGCCTTCAGCAACCTGTTTAACCTTCAGATCTTGCGGCTCCGAGGCAACCAGCTCAAGCTGATCCCTTCTGGAGTCTTCACCAAGCTGACCAATCTCACCCTCCTGGACATCAGCGAGAACAAAATAGTCATCCTGCTGGACTACATGTTCCAGGACCTGAGGAACCTGAAGAACCTGGAGGTGGGAGACAACGACTTGGTGTACATCTCCCAAAGGGCTTTCTCTGGCCTCCTAGGCCTGGAGCAGCTGACCATAGAGAAATGCAACCTGACGGCCATCTCAGCCGAATCCCTCTCCTACCTCCAAAACCTGGAGGTCCTGCGGCTCCGACACCTCAGCATCTCCACGGTGGAAGATGGGAACTTCAAGAAGCTCTACAATCTCCTGCAGCTGGAGATCGACAACTGGCCGCTGCTGGAGGACATCTCGCCCACCAGTTTCCAGGGCCTGAACCTCACCTCGCTCTCCATCACCTACACCAACATCACGGCAGTGCCCACGGCCGCCTTGAAGAACCTGGTGTACCTCATGTACCTGAACTTGTCTTATAACCCCATCAGCACTGTGCCCAAGGGCTCCTTCAAGGACCTCATCAGGCTGCGAGAGCTCCACATGGTGGGGGCCTTCTTGGTCTCCGTGGAGCCTCAAGCGTTCTCTGGTTTGAGGCAAATCCGCCTCCTCAACCTCTCCAACAATTTCCTTTCCACCCTGGAGGAGAGCACCTTCCATTCAGTGAACACTCTGGAGACGCTGCGCGTGGACAGGAACCCACTGGCCTGTGACTGCCGACTCCTCTGGATCCTACAGCGCCGCAAGACGCTCAACTTCGACGGGCAGCAGCCCATGTGCTCCTCACCCCCTGAGATCCAGGGCAACGCCCTGCGTGACTTCCCGGACTCCATACTCTTTGAGTACTTCACCTGCCAAAAGCCCAAAATCAGGGACCGAAAGTTGCAGCACATAACAGCCCGTGAAGGGCAGTCTGTCTCCTTCCTCTGCCGTGCAGACGGAGAGCCCGTTCCTGCCATCGTCTGGGTCTCCCCTCAGCACAGGATGATCACCACCAAGAGCACTGGACGAGCCACCGTCCTGCCCGGGGGCACGTTGCAAATCCGCTTTGCCCAGGTCCAAGACAGTGGCACCTACATTTGCATCGCTAGCAATGCCGGAGGCAATGACACCTACTTTGCCACCTTGACGGTCAAGGGGCATCCCGTGGACGGCTCCCTTTATGCAAACCGGACCTTGTACCTCAGCGAGTTCAACGACACCTTCCACAACAACACGCAAGTCTTCTTAAAGTTTACATTGGACCTCAAGACCATCCTGGTCTCCACGGCCATGGGCTGCATCACCTTCCTTGGGGTCGTGCTCTTCTGCTTCCTGCTCCTCTTTGTGTGGAGCCGGGGGCGGGGACAGCACAAAAACAACTTCACCGTGGAATACTCCTTCCGCAAAGTGGATGGCCCCACCACCACCGCCGGGCAGGGCAGTGCCAGGAAGTTCAACATGAAGATGATCTGAGCGGCCCCAGGAGGAGGGTGGTTGCTAGTCCACTGCCTGCCGCCAAATGGGGCCCTCCAAGAGCCCGGCAGGGGGTAGGAGCATCCTTCCTTTGTTTTCCAAGTGACCACTTCGTCTGGTCATGTGGCTTCACTCCTCCGAGGATCGAGGCAGTAAAACTCGCGGAGGAACCTGGCTGGGACATTGGCTCGGTTCGACCACAAGGGCTTGGAGGTGACTGGGAGGAGCGAGCGGTTTTCCTCGTTGGCCTTGAACTGAGCAGAAGCATCACTGGAAACGGCCCCAGGGGCCTCCCAGCGGCTTATTCCCATTTCTGAGCACACCCCACCTTCTTTGAACAGTGAGATCCCCCCCCACCCAGGTCCCAGAGGGCAAGAGCGGGCCAAGGAGGCATGCACAGCCCTTGTGGGTCAGGGCCTCGCGATGTAGCTAACATTCTTTTGTATCAACTATGCATTTTTCAGACCTTGAGCAAGCAGTGTCTGGGCCCGGAAAACCTGCTTCCTTTTTTAAGAGACCATCTGGAACCTTTTCTCGGTTGTTGTTTATGGTTCGTTTTTAATTTGTTGGGTTTTTTTTTTTAAATGAATTTCCAACAGACGTCTTCCTGGGCGACAAAGGACTCCGGCAGAGCAGCTCCCGGCTGCCTTGGCATGCGCTCCAACCAGCCTGGGCGGCTCAATCCAACGCAGGGGAGGTGCTGTGCTCAGAGGAGTTCCTCTCGGCATTCGGAAGAAGGGGCGGCAAACCCCGGCGCCTGGGGAGGGAATCCCCCTGCACAAGCAATAATAACCCAACCCGACAGTCCCTTCCAGACATACGGGTCTGTGCAGGCATGAATGCCACCCCATTGGCGCTGAGCGGTATTTCCCCAAAGCACACTGGCATTTGAAGCCAGCGAGCAGGCTGCTGGTTGTGGTAGCAGCAGAAACGGGAAGCGCAGCCCCTGTGAGTAATGGTCAGGCCTCGGCAGGCTCAGGGCCGAGCTAGCTGGCCCGCTCGCAGAGGAAATCACCACGGTAAAAAAAATGACACTGTCTCGACTGTGTCTCTCGCTGCTGCTGGCCTCTCCGCTCTGTTCCGTCCCTGCCCCTCCCTCTGGCTCCACCTCCACTCCATCCTTTCTCTCGAGGCCCCGCCTCTTCCCCGCCCCCTCCCTGAGGCCCCACCCTCATTCTGGCTCTTCCTGCCCACGCTCCACCCCCTCCCCGAGGCCCCTGCCAGCCTGCCGCTCTCCGCCCTCCCCCAAGTCCCTCCCCAAGCCACCAAACAGCTGTTTGGTGGCGGCCACACGGCAGAACAGCTCTTCGGCAGCGGCGCCGTCCCAGAGCTGTGGCTGGTGGGTGTTGAGCATCCATTATTTTCCCCATGGGTGCTCCAGTTCCGGAGTACCCACAGAGTCGGCGCCTACATGGGGAGAATCCCCCATCCCTGTTCTCGGTGGAGCTGCTCCCAGAGGACAGCAGGGTGGAGCTGGGCACACAGTGGGGAGGGATGATGAGGAGCTGCTCTGGCTCCCCTGTGGGAATGGAGGATACTCAGCCCCTGATCCTGTTGGGGGTAAAGAGGCCCTGTCACCCATCCTGGATGAAAGGGGAATGTTTTGTCTGGCCGTGCATCTAACTGCCCAGCTGATGAGTAGTTACCCAGTTTGCCTCGATTGCCATGGCACTTGTGTGTGCAAATTAGGTGTGCGCTTATGCTTGCACTAATGGGCATGCAGAAATGCACGGGCAGTTTGGAGACCCTGACTCTCTGAGAGGGCACCCCCAAATCAAAAGAGGCAGCCACCAGTGTAAAAAGAGAAGTCCTGACCTGTGGAGCGAGAGAGTGAGCCAGAGAAACAGAGAGTCAGACCCAGGCCGCAAGAGAGAGCACCTGAGCTATGCAATCAGAGCCAGATCCAAAGCCTGAGCCATGTAAAGAAAGGGTCACCCCAAAAACCAGCTGGTCTTTTCTCGAAGCGATCTCCATTTAACCCACAAGCTGGTCTGGTCCTTTGGCTTGCAAGGTCTGCCAGGTCTTCAGAGACCAGCGAGGCAGTGGAAAAAACCATACCAGATGTTCCGTGCCTGTAGGGCTGTAACAAGGCTGGAAAATAAACAGCTATTTAAACAATAGCATAACAAAGGCACGCTCCCGCCCCTCCAACCCGCAGAGAAACGCAGGCAGAACCGTTAAGCACAGCAAACGCCACTGCGGCGTTAGCCTCCTCAATTAACCCTTCCACCCGCGGCCACCGAGGGGCCGAAGGTCCCAGCCGTGTGAGCGCACCTGGCCCAGATGCGGATAATAATTCTTCTTGCTGCTCCATTTGTGCCACGGCATTTTCTGTTCACAACTTTGAGTTGAAGGGAAAACAGGGATCATGTCAGACAAAGCGGGTCCATATAGCAGGAGATTTTTTTTTTTAAAGGAACCCCGGGGAGGGGGCAGGGCGGCAAGTGACTATCCCAGGTGGGCATGAACTGGATTCGGGATTTGCCCAGGATCTGTGGGTGTTTCACAGCTTTCCCTCTCCAGCCCCACAGAGCGATGCTAACAAGTCACACTGCTGCACCTCTTCCCCGCTGAAGGCCATGTTTAGAGGGACGGCATTTCTTTACAGTGCAGCCGGCTCATCAAGCCCGTTTCACCGGGAAGGTGCCGCTTCTGTTTTATTATCCTCCCGGCCCCTGGCTGTTATGACGCAGAGCTGGCTGGATATCAGTCTCTGACCACATTACTCAGCCCATAATGTACCCAGCAAAATCGTTCTGCTGGATGGTTCTACTATTAAAGTCATTTGGGAGGGACCCCAGGGCAAGCCATGGCCCCGCTCTTTGCCCCATTTTACTCATATGTAATCATCCGTGCTTGTTAATGCTAATTCGGCACCCTCAATGTGTAGGTCCCTTACAGAGCAGCTCGTAGGGGTGCTGTTGCACCTTAATTCAGGATTTAGTGGGTGCAAAGCACTTTGAGCTCCATGAAGGAAAGGCCCAAAATAAGAGCATTATAACATAATATACTGGTTAGTGTGTGCGCATGCACAGCACTGTCCTCTACTGGATGGAATGGGAACTGCTCCACTGAGTGTCATAGGCCCTATACTGCTAATGGAGATTTGCATTTAGCTTGAGTGGCAGGAGTCTGTGCTTCCGAAGCAGAAGCAGCTGGGGTCTAGCTCCGCTGCGGTCTGAAGTCTTAAGTAGAGCAGTGCAAATAATGGGTTGGTTTTTTTGGTTCACTGGCAGTTCTGAATGGTGGGGAGGTGGGGGGGGCGGAATTAATTTCAAATCAAATCAAAAACAAATTTTTTAAAAAAACGTTACCAAATCAAAATAGCAAAAACCATGGTTTGGGTCAAAACAAAACATTTCATTTCGACTGTGTGAGGGGTTTGGGGTGTTTTTTTTACAATCCCTTTTAAGGCAGTTTTCAAACAAAACATCATTTTGAACTGCAGAAGTTTAAACCTTTTGACTTTCGCTGAATTTTTTTCCCAACACAATCTAACTATGCGCTTTGGTGTTGCCAAATCTGCAATTTTTTTTCCCCACCGAAAAAACAAAACAAAAACGTTTTGGCTGAAAAGTTTCACCCAATGCTACCCTTAAGTAGCCACAACGTGCAGCATCAGGAGCCGTATTTATCAGCTCCAACGGTTTTATCCCACATTGGACGTCCCAGGCCTCCTCGATCTGTGATATCATTTTCCCCACAGACAGAAAATCTTCACTTCACATGGGGAACGAGCAGGAGGCAAAGGTCTTGAATGCATGCAAAGAAAGTGTCCTCACTAATGAGGAACAAGGGGAGCGGGAGGGGGACTATATAGCTGATGGGCCTGATCCTGCTGCTTTGAAGTCAACAGCACCAGAGGCATCAGAGGAAGCAGGACTGGGCCCAGAATCCCATGCTGGCATGAGTCATCTGTGCAATATTTTTCAGTTTCACTTTGCAGAGTTCCTGCAGATTTTGTCTTTGATTCCCATCCAGAGAGGATCCACCAGGCAGCTCAGCGAATGGTTGCTCCCCTGCTCACTGTGGGTAGAAGGGGTGAAGGACTGGAGCCCATCTCTTCCTTTGTTTTTAAATCATGTCATTTCCCCTTAGTTTTTGAAAAAAATGGAAAAATAAAAAGGTCAAATCTTTCAGAGCAAATTTGCAAACCCGGCTACTCCCCATCAGCATTAGCCCCGGTTCTCTAACCCCCGAGCCAGAGGCTGTGCATTGCACTGGGGAATCTCAGCTCCCTCTGCTGCACTCCAACTCATCTGGCCCACAATATGTGCCTTGCAGTGTGCAGACTGGCACAATCATTTTCACTAGCATGGGTCCGTGCAAACCATTCCTAAGGGCAGCAGGAGTAACCGTGAACAGGACTGGGGATCAGGCACCCTGGGTTGTTGCTGGGTAACTTTGGTGAATCTATGTCCGCTGTGTGTGTGTGTGTGTCCCAGGGATCTTGACACCACTCCGGGGTATCTGGGACAAGCAGAACCGCTTGCATGTTTTGGGCTGAATTTTATAATGGCTGTTGGAGAAAACCAAAAATCGTGAATCGTCTGTGCCTCACGGGCACAAGAACAGGACAACAGGTCTCCTCGAGTTGTCGCCTCCATCCAAGAGCTGAAGTGCGGAGTGGTGTTATTATTACGTTCAGCCCCATGAATGGCTCCCGGGGGAGGTGTTAACATAGCCCATGATAAATTGTAGGCATGAATATACATGCAGATTAACATGCGTGCTTGGCATACAGATACCAGCCTCTGCACGAGCACCTGCTCCCATCCCCGCTGCTCTGCACCAAGGACCTCAAGAGACGCTATCCTCCCCCCCCGCCCACCCTCCACCATCTCCTCCCCCGCCTCCTCCCCCGCCTCTGGCACCATCACGGACTTTCTCTGCGAACGTTCACACGGGAGATGTTAGTTTCTTGGCTCCCCTGGTGGATTAAAACAGGTCTCAGATGCTGAGACGCCCCCAGGAAGGAGACTGGGAGGCCTGACACCCTCTCCCCTGGGGCAGGTGGGTGGCTTTTTGCCCCCGCCCTCCTCCTTTATTTTCACAGTTTTTTCCTCTCCACTTTCTCTTAAGCCCTTATGTGTTTTCTCCCCCTCCCTTTGCTCTTGATGCTGCGTCCCCTGCGCCATGACACACCTGCCGGGCAGCAGCTACCCCAGCTGCAAGGCCTGGGAATGGGAAGACGGCCCTCCTGACTGACTCAGACCCTCCAGCCCAGACACGTTGGCCGAGGGGTTGGTGCACCGGGAGTAGGTCAGGGCAGGCAGCAGACCCCGGCACTGTGTGCCCAGGGGCACCAGGACCCTGCCCGGATGTTATTTTGTGAATGTGTTTTAGGCACAAGGGGTTTGACAATTTAATCCTAAAAGGCACAAGGCCAAATTCCTTCCTGGATGAAATCCACTGGCCTGGGTGAAGTTACAGCCGGGATGAGTCTGCCCGTTCACGTAGCCCACACAGAGGATGTTATGGAACCCGAAAGGGTCACAGCAGCAATTCAGGTTGAGCCAGAGAATCAAATGGCCTGACTGGTTCATCGGAGGCACTGAGATCAGAGATGGACAAGACCTAGGTCATCTAGTCTATCTCCTGCACCTCGTGGGCTTTAGGGCCTCTGCTCCAGAGCTTTGGCCAGCCCCGGGTCAAATGACTCACGCAATGTGGCTTCTGACCTCTGCCTGGGGAGCCTGTGTGTTCCCCATTGCTCACCCTGTGTCCCGTTCCCCCTGGCCTCTCCCAGTGCTGCCCCAGTGGGAGGAAGCTCAGGAAGGGGAACCAGCCCTGAGGAGTGCCCACAAGCAGCTGGAAAGGCAGGCATCACTAGGACCCGGAAAGAGAGGGCAATATGGGGGATTGCCCCGCGATCCAGCAGCTGCTCTCTGGGACCATGTCCTTCCTCAGGGCCTGCAGTCCTCGGAGACTGGGCCATCAGCATCAGAGCCTCCCAAAGGTGAGCGGGATCCACCTTCAGGCCGTCCCGAATGACTTACCCTGCTAGAAAGTAAACATTCCACCTCTGTACGTGACGCTTTGTCATCGTCCCTCTCTGGGGCTTGCCCTGGCACCAGGGGCGAGCCCACGTCTCTGCTGAGGCCATATGGCCTGCAGCCGGTTAGCACACAGGCGACCCGCAGAGCTTGGGTGGGGGGGGTCTTTCTTCAGCTGCCAGCACAGTGGCATGGAACTGGTCAGGCCAGGCTCTGTCTGCCAGGCTCCACAGACAGACATAGGCACCATTGGGGTCTAGCCCTGACTCTGAGCCCGCCCCACCATGCCTTGGCACAGCTGGGCTCACATGGGTGCCAGGCCTCACCCTGCGAACGAGTGCGGCCCTACATGTTGAAACAGACCCTTTAGTTCAAACCAGGTCAGGGGGATCATCCCCAACAGAAGCCCCCACCCTCCACGTAGCCGCATCACCCCCTACTCAGCCGCTGCCGGCAGGCACCAGGGATGCCGGGGCGCCCCTGTTTGTGAGGCTCCGTGGCCCTGCCTGGATTGAGAAGCCAGAAGCGTGGGGCAGGGAGGGAATTCAGTCCCAGATGGGACTGGGGCTGGGTAACCAGGGCGGGGGCCGTAACTGAATGGCAGAAGACATGAAGGAGATGGACGGGCTATGCACGAGCCCCTCGACCAATTCCCCCTGGCCACGCCACCTCTTCACACACGCAGCCCCAACGGCCTAACCAAAGGCAGCAGCGCCCAGAGACCAACCTGCCCATGTCACAGGGACAAGCAGAAGAGCGGGGCTGACCCCGCACCCACACTGAATTGGGGGGCAGCACCCAAACATTGTGGCTTGAGTCCCTCTCTGCAAGGGTCTAATGAGCACGCCCCATCCAAACAGCCGCAAGCTGTGACATTCAGATCCTACCCCAGAGCTGCCCGCCTGGCCTCTGATGTCAACGCGGCTCTCTTTCCTTTGCCCCGATTCATTCATCCACTGCTGAAAATGCCAACATGTCTGCCCTCGGACTGCCAGCAGCTGGGAGCCACCTGCAAGCTTTTCCTCCCCACCAATGCCACCGCTGATCCCTCCTCCAGCCCCCAGCCCACCCCCAGAGAGCTATGCATGCCACGTTGTGTCAGGAGTCCAAGTGGTGTCGTCCACGCAGTTAGCAAGTCCATGGTCAGTGTCCGGGGTTTTTTGGGGGAGGGGCGGTGAAAACTTAAGAGCTGGGAAGCCCCGGATGGTTCCTATGGAAGGCCTTGTCCGCACAGAACATGTCCGGTTTCCTATGTAACAAGCATGTGAAATATACCTGAGAAAAGCAACGCGCCTCCCGTGTCGTTTTTCTTCCTCCCCCTCTGCGGAGCGACGCAGGAGAAAAGGCAGAATCGGTGACTGACGGCCTGGAAAGAGGAGAAGTGGGGCGTAGCCACAACCGGCCAGGTGCTCCCAAGTCAGGGTCTGAAATCTGCACTGTCACACCAGCGTGAATCTGAGTCTGGGCCTCTCTCGCTCTGGCTATCAGGAGTCGTTCACGCCATGGACTTGCTCCAGTCTAAAGCTGGGGTAAGTGAGACGAATGGGTACGTCTACACGCCACACTAAGCTCAAGCTCTGACTCAGGTTTGAGACAGAGCCCCTTTTCTGGCTCTCAGGACCCAGGACCTAAGACCCTGCTAGAGGTGTGGGTCGGAGCCCAAGTCCCACTCTGACTTGGGTCCAAGCCCTGTCATTATGCGGTGTGGATGCAGGTCAAGTTGCAGTCGCAAGTCAGAAGGGCTGGGTAGTACAATATGGACCTGTTAGCACGGCTGGTAGACCCAGGTCCAGCAATTGTAAGCCCCGGTTCACAATGCAGTGTGAGCTTGGAAAGACTGAGTCCACAAGCCCAGGTTCCACAGAACTGGGCTTAGAGTGCAGTGTAGACATACTCTGACTCCAATGGAGTGACTCCAGAGACACCGCCCTGGCTGACAGCAGGACCTGCACCCCCGACAGAGCCATTAGGGCCCAGATCCCCAAAGGTACTGAGGCGTCTAATGCCCACTGATCTCAATGGACTAGGGCACCTCAACACCTTGGAGGACCTGGGCCTAACACCCTAACTTTGGTGATTGGCACACAGCCAAGCATTTCTCCGTTGGGTCACACACATTTGTGATGAGTCTGGGGAAAGGGATTGCTCTGCATTGGCTCTCCCCAGAACCAGGAGATGGTCTCAGGGAGTGCCTCACAGATCGGCATCTGCATTGCAAGCAGCACCCCACAGGGCAGGCTAAGGATTCAGAGGGACGTGGAGACAGTTGTCTCTGCACCTCGTGTGATCCAGATCATCCCGTCTGAACTGCCAGGCCTAGTATCCAATTATTCAGCTGCTGCAGTGTCAGCTGCTAAACATTACTGCAAACAAGAGACATCCCAAACTCTCTTGGTTATTATTATGTGCGCTGCGGTAGCATCCAGGAGCCCCAGGAGCCCACTGTGCTAGGCGCTGTACAAACACAGACGAAGATGGTCCCTGCCCCAGACAGATTCCAATCTCAGTAAATCTCTTGATTTAAATCCATTGCTAGCTGGAAACAAACAAATAATGAAGCATGAGAACTTCATTATTCAGGTTGGCATGAGTACTTCTTTTCGGGTGGGACACAGAGCTTAAGAAAGAGTTAACAGGCCCACTTTATATTAACATGGCACCTACAGAGAGTTTGCTAAGATTCCTGGTGGATTAATAAATTGCTATCAATTAAGAAGTAATTATGCATGTCGGGTTTTTTAAATACTTAATAGATGATGCTAAAACAACCTGTGGAGGGTCACTGATGCAGCACCTGCCCCGTGGCCCTCTCACAGCACTGAACAAAGGCGGGTCAGTGTCATGATCACTGCTTGACAAATGGGGACACTGAGGCACAGAAAGGCGAAGTGACTTGACCAAAGTCACACAGCAAGTTATTGGCACGGAAGAGAAACCAAAAGTCCAATTGCCCAGCCCTAGTGCCCTAGTGTTCTCATCACTAGATGGCCCTGTCTCTGCTACATATATACCTGGACACCTGGTCAGTTATCCAACCACATTCAGTCACGGCCCCATCCCTGGTTCCCCAGTCCCCCCACCCAGCCGTTTGCACAAGGAACTCAAGAAGTGCAGGGGCAGCAGCAGTTATTACCTGGTGGAAAGTCAATTACTGACCCTGCCAAGGAACAGCTTGGAGGTCGCCTGGAGAGCCCTGAGCCAAATGGGGACTTATTTAAAGGGCTCTTGGGTTACCAGGTGCTTTGCACCAGTCGCCCACCCCAGTCCTCGTGAATGAGGAACAATGCGGCGACAAATAATCGTGAACTGGACTTGATGCTTCCGTTGGCTTCAGCACTATGACATAGCTCGCTGCCCCCCCCCCCAGCAGCCCCCCCAGCAGCAGGTCAAATTGGGAACACAGGCAAGATCAGAGCCAGCATGAAGGAGAATTGGGCAGGGGGAGGATGACGTTTGTGGAGGGGGGAACGTGATCAACAACTCACTTGACAGGAGAGGTGGGTCTGATGCTTTGCAGGGGGGCTAGTGAGGCAGGGGTGGGGGGAGGTGACACAGGCTCCTGTGAAGCATTCTTGGGGTGAACAGAGACGGTGGGTCCTTGCGACACAGAAAGTCCATCATCCCACCCCACCTCTGAGCCCCACCTGACCCACGCCTCACCTTCACCTACAAACACCCCATCAGCAGCCTTGCAACTGCTTTCCCACTCCCCCCATACCCCTCCCTGCTGAGCTGCAAGGGGTGCTGTCCTTTGCCCTCCCCCACCCGCCCCCAGTGCAACCTGAGTGTTACATCATGACCCAAAAGGCGCCCTTAGATGTTGCTGGGATCGTTAATCTGGCCCTGCCTTAAGATCGTTCCATGTTTTCAGGACCAGTGTGACTCCAGCATCCGATTCCCTCAAGGAAAGGAAAGTTGTGGGGTGAGCAGGAAGGACATTAGGACACACGGGGCCTGCAACCAGCGGAGAGGACCTCGTATGGGGAATAAGAAATAGAGGGGAAGGGGACAGGTCCCATCCCAGCCTCCCTCCCCCCCCACCCCCAATTTGGGCCTTTCCTAAAGAACCGGTCGCCCCTAGAACCCCTGGGCAGCAAATCGAGGTAGAGTCGAATTAGTGGCAACGCTGCCCTCTGCTGGGAAGAAGCAGCACTGATGATGGAAAAACTACCAGCCATCCCACTCCCCCACGCCCCATAATACATGGGCCGTGATGTGAAACAAGCGCCAGTCAGTCCTGGAGCTGGGTCAGGTGTGAAGTCACATGGCAAATTAACATCACACAGGGTAACGGTATGGGGATGAGGCACAGAATTCACTAGAGGCTTTGCCACATTTGAGTAGAGTGGCCCCAATGCATCCCCAGAATACTGGACATTCTGGTACTTCCACGAATGGCATGGGCCCACCTGCATGCCCCTGCCTCCACCGGTGGGACCTGGCATGCAGTGTGCGGGGGCGGGGCGGCAAGCTCTTCAAAATGGCATCTTCCATGTGTGATACCAGAAAAAATCATGTCCAGGACTGGACAGGAGACAAACCAGAAAAAAGCAGGCTTAAAACCGGACAAACAGCCTGCCTACTTTTGATTAATTGTCCCAAAATCAACATGATTAGATAGATAGATAGATAGATAGATATTGGGGTGTGTATGGAGATAGATAGATAGATAGATAGATAGATAGATAGATAGATAGATAGAAGCGAATATCATGATGCAAGATCAATACATCCTTTGGGCTCAAGGTGCTATAGCTCTGTATAAATGTAAGCATGAAAGATGGAGGTTACTTACCTGTAACTGGAGGCTATTTGGTCCCTAGCTGCATTCCACACATTGGATACGCACGCACATTATGCACCTGAGTCCAGAATTTTTTGTACACTGCATCCGTTGGCGCGCACTTGCATCGTAGTTCTCCTCGTGTTCCGAGCCAAGGGCATAAAAGGAGGTGCAGGCTGAGGCCTCTCCAGTTTCCCATTCTTACCGCAGTTCAAACAGTCTGCAGCAGAGGGGATGGAGGGCAGGTAGTGGAATACACATGGGGACCACACATCTGGAAGAACCAACAGCTGCAGATCAGTAACTCCATTCCTTCTTTGAGTGACGGTCCCTATGTGTATTCCCCAGGTGGGAGATTAACAAGCAGTAGTCAGACTGGGGGTGGGGGGGAGGACGCAGAAGTGGTAACTGACTGGAGTGCTGCTGTCCCAACAGCTGTAGCCACAGTTGATGACTGGACCAGAGCGTAATGTCTTCTGGGGGTACACAAAGAGCTCCAAGTAGCTGCCCTACTTATCTCCAGGAGGGTAAGTCTCTCAGACATGGAGCTGAAGTAGTTTGACTCTAATGGAATGAGCTCTCAGGACAGGGAATGTGAGCTAATTAGTAACAAAGAGTAATACAACCCAAGATCCATTTTGAAAGTCGCTGCATTGATATAGCTTGACCCCTTGATCGTTCTGCTATGGAAACAAATAGTTTAGGTATCTAACACCCTTTGTTCTTTGCAGATAAGACCTTCAGATATCTAGAAAATACAGCTGTCTCTCTTCATCTGAGGCATGTGGTTTTGGAAAAAAAAAAAATACTGGAAAGTGGATTACCTGATTCATATGAAACTCAGAATCTACTTTAGGAACAAATCTAGTGTGGTATCGTAACAAGACCTTTTCTTTATAGAAGGTGGTACATGGTGGGTCTGCCATGAGCGCTCCCAGCTCACTGACTCTTCTGGCTGACCTTATGGCTATTAGAAAGGCCACCTTCAAGGACAGATGGGCTATAGACCATTGGCTAGATACTCAAATGGGGGTTTAAGTGAGCAAGAACAGAACAAAACTGAGGTCCTACTGAGGTGCAAACTTCACAAACGGTGGAAGGGACCTGAGAATCCCCTTCAGAAATGTAGTTGTGATAGGTGAATGAATGTGGTACCATTATCCACCAGAGGATGGAGAGCACTGATCACTGGTAAAACTGAGCATGAGACCCTAAGACTGAAGGGCAAGTAGCTACTCTAAAGATAGCAGGTTTCAGAGTAGCAGCCATGTTAGTCTGTATTCGCAAAAAGAAAAGGAGTACTTGTGGCACCTTAAAGATTAACAAATTTATTTGAGCATAAGCTTTCGTGAGACTGCTGAATTGGAATTAACTTGCAAACTGGATACAATTAACTGAGGCTTGAATAAAGACTGGGAGTGGATGTGTCATTACACAAAGTAAAACTATTTCCCCCTTGTTTATTCTGCCCCCCACACACACACACACACACACTGTTCCTCACA